CGGATTCCCCTAGTCACTGCCAGTTCTAAGTTCGTTGTTCGTTGCCTCCCGATTTGACCTCGCGGCCATAGCTGGGCCAATCCACGGGCAGTACCTTCCTGGTCCGACCTCGGCCTTCCCGATGCTCGCCTCCGAAGAGGTCCGCAAAGGGTCAACCTCGGCCAGCCCAGGCCGGCTCCACCCGCTTCAAGTCTCAGCCCGAGAGACCCAACGCTTAGAGCCAATCCTTTTCCCGAAGTTACGGATCTATTTTGCCGACTTCCCTTACCTACATTGTTCTATCAACCAGAGGCTGCTCACCTCGGAGACCTGCTGCGGTTATGAGTACGACCGGACACGAAAATCATTGTCTCCCGCGGATTTTCAAGGGCCGTCGAGAACGCACCGGACACCACAAGAAGTGTGGTGCTTTACCAGGCATTAAACCCTATCTCCGGACAATCCGATTTCAGGGTGAAAGCCTGTTAAAAAGAAAAGAGAACTCTTTCCGGGGCCCCCGCCGGCGTCTCCGCGTTCGGTTGCGTTGCCGCACTTGCCACCCACGAGGAGTGGCAATATCCGTGTTCCGGTTCGGGAATATTAACCCGATTCCCTTTCGATAGACGGCCCAAGATTGGGCACTTTGACACGGAGTTTCCCTATCTCTTAGGGTCGACTAACCCATGTCCAACTGCTGTTCACATGGAACCTTTCTCCACTTCGGTCTTCAAAGTTCTCATTTGAATATTTGCTACTACCACCAAGATCTGCACCAGAGGCCGTTTCACCCAGGCTCGCGCCAAAGCCTGCGTCACGACCACTGCGCCCTCCTACCCGTCGGGGCCTGACACCCACCCCGACGGCGAAGTATAAGTGCCATGCTTGAGTGCCATCCATTTTCAGGGCTAGTTGCTTCGGCAGGTGAGTTTTTACACACTGCTTAGTGGATTCCAACTTCCATGGCCACCGTCCTGCTGTCTATAGCAACCAACACCTTTTGTGGGGTCTGATGAGCGTCGACTTTGGCACAACTGGTGGTGCCCTTCCGTCAATTCCTTTAAGTTTCAGCTTTGCAACCATACTTCCCCCGGAACCCAAAAACTTTGGTTTCTCATAAGGTGCAAAAGGGGTCATCCAATAACACCCTCTGATCCCTAGTTGGCATCGTTTATGGTTAGAACTACGACGGTGTCTGATCGTCTTCGATCCTCTAACTTTCGTTCTTGATTATTGAGCAAGCAAGCCGTAAACCAGTACCTCATAGACTCGATTCTTCAGAAACGGCGCACTGTCCAAAGAAGTGAAAACTTATGGGACAGATCGCTCTACAATGATGCCACAGATACCCTGCCTAAACAGAGGGAACCGAGCAGACGTGGCCGCCTAGACACTGAAGAGGACGACCAGTCCACTCCAGGGACCTCTGGGTCCTCCACCACACCCAGGAGACGTCTTTCCACTCTACCAGAGTTCGCAAAGCCGCCAGCACCATCTGCAAAGAGCCCGGCAGGAAAACGTGGAAGGCAAGAGACGAGAAAAGCTTCCCCATTTAGTCCTCTCACAGAAGATCCTGAAGACGACGAGCCTACCCAATTATATGCCCGTCAATCAGCAGACAGGAGATCCCGCACAATTGAAAGACGAAGAGCAGCACGCCATCTACCCACAACCTTCGAGGATAAAGAGGAAGAGCTGGACCAACACACTCGTCGGAAAAACAAGAGACTTCTTGTAGGGCCACCGACCGCTAAGAACAAGTTGGCCCGAAAGGCCCAGCAGACCAGAGACTCGGATTCCAACGACGAGGAGGACCACCCTCCCCCCAAAGGCATGACGGGCACCAAACCAGCTCCCAACAAACATCGCAAAAACCCGCCGACCATCGTCTCAAGTGACTCCGATCTCGATGACGACCAGCTGGGGATCACGCCCAGAACCCCACCAGAAAGCCCGTTCTACAGAGGCCCCGCAAACTGCACAACTGCAGCTGGAACGAGCAAAAAGAACACCGCGCCTTCTACCACCACTCCCAACAACAGAGACCGCAAGGGCAACACGAAACAGGCCTCCCGCAATCCGAAGGAGCCAGAACAATCGAGGAGCCAGAAACAAAGAAGAAAAAGAACAGGAAAGGCCGCGGCGGCCTGGAAGACCTCACTGACGAGCAAGACAAGCTCTATGCCCAACTGAACAAGACCGCCCGCAACACTAAGTAAACACTTTTTTCGCACGTGTGCTTCCTCTTTACCTGTTAGAAACTTTGATTATTACTTGACCTAATAGAACACTAGTTTTGATACCTTTGTAAACATTTCGCTTGAGTTCAGTTACCTGCTACGTTTCGTTTCCGTTGCCACATTAGTGTGCTTGTCTAGTTAAGCTACATCAGTTGACAAGGTGATAAGACAACAAAGAACTACCCTATGCACCAGTAGTATCTAATCCCACTTGTCTTGCAACTGACCATTTCGTTTCAGTTCGTAGAAGTCATGTACCCGCATTTTTACAGTTTCATTAAACAGAAATAATGTAACTCTAGGAATTCGTTTATTAAACCATTTGTTCCACTTTGAAACTCTGTGTGGTTTCCGTTACTGCACCAATATTTTCCCGTTCCCGAAGAAAAATTGGGGGACCAAAGATTGAACTAAGAATCTGGACACAATCGTGCTATACGTGCAATCTCTCCAAGATATCTACACGCTGTGGCAACTGGGAGTTATCGACAACACTTTTGCAACATCTGAACATTCCCAGTTTGAGATGCAATATCCTCTCTCCCCACAGCAGCGAGCCATCTACTCCAGATACCTTTCTCTTGTGGAGACACGCTGACGTCAGATCTACGGCACATGGTCACCTGGAGGAAGTTCCTCTACGACGCAACTAGCAGACGAGAACTCCACCGATTACCTCAAGTACCAACTGCTGTTAGGCTGTCCCGGAACTGGGAAGACTCAAGTGGTCAAGCGCCTGGTCCACACCTTAATTGAAGAAGAATACTGCGTTACTGTGTGCGCTCCCCTGGGTCTTCTTGCTACCAACTACAAGGAGGAATTCTACCCCGATCTGCAGGCTGACACCATCTACGCGCTTTCCAACATCCCTGTTGCGGCAGACCAACAGTACGCGGTTAACTATAACATCGGGAAGTACGATGCTATCATCATTGACAAGGCTTCGATGGTCGCTGACGACACCTTTGACATGATCCACAATACACTGGAAAAACAGGTCCATCGACCCCTCGTCATAATCGCGGGCGACGAATGTCAACAACCGCCCTTACAGACGATCAACGGCCGTACGATCCAGACCACGTCGATCTTGAAGAACCGCCACTTGCGCGAAGTCTGCCAGTTTCACTCCCTGTACCAGCAGTTCCGGTGCACCGACAAGGCGTATATGGACTTCTTGCAATACATCCCATATAGCCGTCCCCAACAGTACGTGGTGGACAACTTCCAGCGGCCCTTGCTTCTATTCGAGCAATCTGATATAACGGACTTCGACATATGGCACACTGTTCAAGACGCGCCAGACGCCACCTTTCTAACAGTCTCCCGTGCCGCTGCAAATCGTGTCAACAACATCGTGATTGCCCACGCCTTCCAGGAGAAAACACAGGTGTCAACGATACCCCTGGAGAATGATGTCCACGACTTTCTCCCTTTTCGTGACATGCGCGTCGTTGTAACTCAAAATCTAGACAAATGTACTGGTGTGGTCAACGGCCAGCTCGCCACAATTCAAAACAGTCAGAACAACACCCTCCTCTTGAAGTTTCCAAACGGGAAGACGACGTTCACCCACCCTGTCACCACCACCACTGAAGACGGGCGCAGTAGAGTGCACTATGCGCTAAACCCAGCCTATTGCATGACCATCTGCAAAACGCAAGGCGCTAACATCAAAACGCTGATCGTCTGGTTCGACTGCCCTACTGTGCCCAGCTGTATGGGATACGTCGCCCTCTCCAGAGTACGCAAGAGTGAGGACATCAAAATCCTGACACCCATCGTAGCTGACCAGTTGACCCCAGCGTTAACTTAAAGACCTAGTGTCCACGCGTCAACGAACCACTAGTCCATAGGATGCCTTACACGAAGCCGCTATATGTTACACATCCCACCCTTGTTGTTCATACTCACTATGCTCCCCACACCCTTCACGCTGCGGACCTTCCAATTGACAACCGGTCGCATGACCCGACTCTCACCACTGGACTCACCGCTTTGCCCGACTTCTGCGACGCTATCGACCCCAACCTGTTGTCACATAGCACCTAAGCAGGGATACACATACGCTTTCACCGGTCAGTCCTGACCCATCAACGTACAATCTCACGCGCAATTATTCGTTTGCAGCTATGTCAAGACTCAATCAAAACCCATGGACGCCAGAGAGCAAAACTGGCGTCAACTATTTCAAGCACCAAACCAAACATTTTCTAACGCTGTACGGGAAAACCCACGGCCTGCTGACATTCCACGAGATTTTAGACAAGCTGTTCCATTGGAACTGCGAGTGTTAACACGGCCGAATTATGCCATTAGCGAGCTCGCAGATACTCCGTATGCCAACCTTGCAACACTCGCCGAATATAAAGACAAGGTGTTCCCAAAGCACGCCGTGGACCCTTTGCTGAACAAAGCCCGACCCATCAGGACAGTCCTGCAAAGATTCAACAAAAAAGATTCTGCGACTGCCGAAGAACCGGATGAACGCGATCTGGCCGATTTAATGAAATTTATTGAGGATGACACCCTGAAGAGTCTCTGCAAACACCTATTCGCAGCATCCGGCGCAATGTTCTCCATAGCCACGCACATCATGGCTCTAAAACATTATTCAGCCACCTGGCTGAATACGCGAAGAGACACCGGGAATCGCCGGAAGTCCAATCTTTCAAACAGAATCCATCACGGGAGTCGATGGTTGCATATATAGCCTCTCAGACACTAATTCACACTGAGATAGTGCCAGAAGAACAGGGCGGCAGCATTTGGGACACTCTCACCCAAAGAAGTTCTACGAGACAAACGCGCCCAACTGCTACCTTTTGGGATGCTGTACAAGAAACCGTCGATGACGACGAAGCCGAGTATCCCTATGAGGACGATGACGAAGAAGAGCCCATTCCCGCTCCAACCCGCAGACGACCCTGGCGCAACATATTGCAGGACGAAGAGCAGCAAGAGGAGGACGAAGAGGAGCCCTTTAACATACCAGAATCCTCGGGGGAACATGCCCTGTTCATCATGCAGCAAGACCCTGACCCATATCACGAGCCAGGCACTCTGTCGCGCACCCAAAAAGGCAAAACACCAGCCGCGCGAAAAAGGCCATCCTCAACAACTAACATTTGGGCCAGCTTTGGGCTCAGTGCGGAGAGCAGCACATCGGCGGGTAACTCTGCACCAGCAGCCAAGAAAAAGGCCACCGCACCTCGTCCCCGAGGAACCAAACCAACCAGGGGAAGCACCCAAGGCCGAGGAAGAGGAGCACGAGGCAAAAGAAAGCAGCCTACAGGCCGCCACACGTACTTTGACTAGTGCAGATTTAACTATGCACTATACAACACGCAAGTGATTTGTCAAATATGCCATACTGCAGGACACACTAATACATACTAGATACTTGATCACACTAATTCATGTGCCACACAACATCACATTTAAGACTCGATACCACAAGAGCAATTACTCTTGCACTACATCCTACTAAACATTGTCTTCCTGCAGCTACGACACGTTCTCCAACACTTGCTAATCGTTGAGTTGAAACTTATTGCAGGAAATTGACATTAGTACTAGCAACCGATGGGTACGGCCTCCGTACCAAGAGTTGTTGTTCCTTAGATTGCCCTCCTTTACGAGGCCACTTACATAGAAAAACGTCTAAGACCCTTCTAAGACCAATCCTGTTGACTTCAACTATGACCGTCAACGTTGCACACCGAGTTTACAACCTGGCCCACATTACTCCTTCGGGATCGCCCCCTTGTCCTTTCTACCATTCCTTTTTTCTTATGCCCTACACTTTTGAAACTTCCTTCCTCAACAGGATTGAAGCTTCATTGGGTCTTTGACTGTTTCACCCGTTTAGTGTTACGTTCTGGGCGACCAAGCTCGTCACAAAACCTTATACCTTAGTGCCTCTTTAAGCACCACGTTGTTTCAAGCGTAACTCAAATATGCAACAAGCACTGAAGCACTTCGACTCCAAATATTGGACTCGTATGTGCCTTACGCAAAGTGCAAAGTAGGAAACGTCCTACACCCGTGAGTAGTTGACCGTTCATTTCGTCTTTTAAGATGTATAAAGGTTACTCGCTGTATCTGGCGGACAAATTGCATTCACACGTTTCGGTACAGCATTCACTCAAGAGAATACTCTCTAACACGGATGTGGAAGCCCCTTTGTTTCATCATGTCTTTCTTGTCCGCAAGTTCCACATCCATCTCGTTTGTTACGTTTACAGAACAAAGACACTCGTTTAGTACCCTTGTATTTTCGTGGCTTCCAACACGCCAATCGTACACTCCTAGGTACTGTTGAACCCTACTACCTCGACCTGTTTCTTTTACCCTTCCAAAGAAATAGTTCTGTACAGATCGAAAATCCGTCTGACATTAAAGTCTTATGTTTACTTTCAACGACTCTCTCGTCCTTGTGAAACGTTCCCGTTGGGTGTTTTAAGGGGAAAATGATAAAAGAAGGAATCTGGAAAATTCTGCTTCGGAAGGATAGGTTGCAGAAGAGCCGCGTTCGAAGGTTCAAAAAGCAACTCGAGCGTTTGAACAATAGCTTGGTTGCCTCAAGCCAGTCGTCCCTGTTCTTGGTTTTGCTTTAGCAGGGTGGGCGGGTGGGATACCGAACCCAAAAGTACCCAAAGCCAACACAGTCTCGTTAGGTCGAGCTCGTTTGCAACTCCAAAGGGGGAACGTGTTCCCTTAGAGACGTTTCACTAGAGGACTCAGGAGCGCCTCCGGGGAGAGCTCATTAGACTCTTATAGTCTTTATGGTAACTTTTCTGAAACATTTGGGGTCACCTTCTCCAAAAATTCTCAAATTTGGCATACGAGTCGGATTAGTGGCCAGACGTGTTGTGTTCAAATTGGAGCGGCCGGTGTCAAATCCCGGGGGGGTAACAAGGGGTCGAAGGTGGGCACTTTTCATACATTTCTTCATGTCAAAAAGACGGTTTTTTTTTTCTTCGAGACAGAAGCTGTCCTTTTGCACTCCAGGTAGCTTTTGGGGTCAATAGGCCGTGGTTCAAGCGGCAGATGTCAGGGGGGGCTAGACTGTCACTTATGTGCAACGTTCGTAAGCGGTTTTGGTGGCATAATAAATCTCCTGGATTTCTTTGTTTGTCATCCAAACTTTGACACAATGTAGGGCTCTCAGTGTTATAAGCGTATGAGCAATATGAGGTTCTAGAAAAGAATCGTGTGTGTTTTACAATTCTGTCAAGTTGGTATCTCAAGTAAAATTTCGCTTTTTTTTTCTTGAGGTTGCATCTTTGAGTCCAATGTTGTGGCGGACATTTAACCAGAACAGAACCAGATTGACATGATAGTGAGTGCCTTGAATGCACTACAATATACGATAAATAGTTTTGTGTGATCGATTTTTACGTTGCAATAAATACTCGCTGAATTCTCATAAGTCGCAGTTTTGCCCCTTAAAAAACGCAATGCTTAAAACGTGTTACGGGCTTTGTGTTTCTTTGTTTGGGAACGGAAATTGCACACAGAGTAGCTCTTAAACTTTTTCATATGTGAGAATTTTTGAGAATTTTTTCGTTACAACTGACGTGCGTAGCAATAGGTTAAAAGTAGCCGCAGATTTGGGAAAATGTGGCGAAAATTGTTCAGTGCTGTTGAAAAGCTTTATCGGAAGGTTCTCAGAAAATTCTCAAATTTGGCATGCAGATACATATTGTTGAGAGTGATGTTCTGTTGAAATTGCAAGCTCAGGTGCGAAATCCGGGGGGAGCTACAGGGGGTCGAAGAACGGTATTTTCCATACATTTCTTCATGTGAAAACCACGGTTTTTGAAACCTCCGAGACAGAAGCTGTCCTTTTGCACTCCAGCTAGCTTTTGGGCCGAATAGGCTATATTTCAAATTGCAGATGTGAGGAGCAATCCGGGGGGGACTTATGTGCAACGTTCGTAACCGTATTTTGGGGGCATAATAAGTCTGCTGGATTTCATTGTATGTCATTGAAAGTTGGACACAATATAGAACTATTAGTACTGTAAAGGTATAAGCAATATGAGATTATTAGAAGAAATCATGTCTGTTTTAGAATAGTACAAAGTTGGCATCTCAAGCAGAATTTCGCGTTTTTTTGACTTGAGGTGCGATCTTTGCGTGGAATTTTATGAGACACATTTTACTAACAGAGAATCAAATTGGCATGATACTGAGTCCGTTGAATGCACTATAATATGGAATGGATACATATGTCTGATCGATTTTGTTGTCGCAAAAGATACTCGCGAAATTCTCATGGGCCGCAGTTTGGCGCGTGAAAAGTTGATGTTTAAAACGTGTTTACGGCTTTCCGTTTCTGCATTACGGAACTACTGTTACAGACATGGTAGCTCTCTAGTAGTGTCATGTGTCGTATTTTTGGGGCGTTTTTTCATTACAACAGAAGCAAGTTACAATACCTTGAAAGTCGCACCAGATTTGCGTCAATTGAGGACAAGTTGTAGACTGCTGTTGGAAACGTGTACCGCAACGTTGTCCGAAAATTGTGAAATTTGGCATGTATATAGATATTCTTGGGAGACATCTTGTGCGCAAATTGGAAGGTGTCATGCGAAATCCGGGGGGAGCTATAAGGGCTGAAAGGTGGGTCCTTTTCATACATTTCTTGAGTCTGCGAAGTTTCATTCCTATGCGGAAAAAGGGAGGCGGGATATAGTGGTGGAACGACGGGCACTCCGAAGAAGAGGAAAACAGGGAAAAAAGAACGTTTTGTACGGTACCCCGCCGGCACGGAGATTTCGTAGTGCAGCTAGCTGTTCCTTGCAAATGGCGACATATCCAATTGCGGTTGAAAAGGTTACAAGTGAGGGGAGCTACAGTGCAAAATCTGTTTTCTCGTTTTCGCGCATGCGCAATGCGGAATTGGTTTTTTGCGGCTGCCGGGGGGCCTTTAACACTTTCCGCATATTATAGCTGCGGTTAGCATAGTGTTGTGTAAATGCCGACCTTCTCGAAGGTCACTGGTTGTATTTCTGCATGTTAGCGACATTGACAGTCGGTGAGAGCCTCCTTAAAAAAGGTGATATCCCTTGTATCTTTCTCCGATTTCAACGTACACACTTGCAAATATAGAAACAGTATCGTAAGACGGTGAGAATCGTTGTTACCAAAAATGGGGACCTAGTAATGAAACGGACGACAGTTAGCACTAGTGTTGTCAGTGCGCATGCGCCGTGAAAATAGCGTTTGGGTTCACAGTTCCTTTAGATGACCCTTAACTGAGATGTGGGAAGTGTCTCATGAATGTGTTGGGCTGTGTAACAATGTGGTGGTCTTCTTGGTTCCGTAGTTACAGTGCCACAATCTTAGGACACCTTGGATGGTATATGGAGGGTCTTAAGGCGTTCCTTCGTTGAGGCAGTGACTGGTTTATGGCCCTGTAACTTCGGTCCAAACCAATCTTTCATATTGCTGGCTGGTATAGTTTTTGGAATTGGCCGGGAGCAGCGTTGCTCTTGGCCTACAATGAACATGACGAGAACAAATTGACACTCTTTGATTATTGTTGAGAGTTGTCATCGAAGTGTAAGTAGCGGGACGTTTAGGTCGATTGGGCTAAAGTTTTTCCTTGGTGTTGAAAACGTTGACCGAGATCAGCTTTTTACAGACGAGTAAGTCACGTGACTTTGATTGTATAAGCTCGATGCTTCACAGAGTTGTACAGGA